GAGGGGGGGAGAGGGAGAGGGAGAGGGAGAGGGAGAGGGAGAGGGAGAGGGAGAGAGGGAGAGAGAGAGGTGAGGAGAGAGGGAGAGAGAGAGGTGAGGAGAGAGGGAGAGAGAGAGGTGAGGAGAGAGGAGGTGTAAAACATAATATACAAATACATGTCATTAACATACTTTTCCTGTTTTTGTTAGTGCAATACTGAACTGATTAGCTGCTGAAACCTTCTGAATTAGTTGACCCTTGAGAGCCTCAATAACCTAATATAGACATACATTACACCATACAGTCAGTCAGTTACATCATTGATATTAAATCATACACACGTGCACCATCTGGACTGTATCATCAATGATGGTTAACATCTGGAAGGAAATGCAATATGCCATTCAGTTCTCCTGGACTACATACATTCGTATTACATCCTAAATCAGTACACTAAAAACAGGGGCAACCTAATCTACCTGTACATGTAAACATGTATGTATACATGTACCTCAACCACCCACTCTAATTATTTCAGTCTGGAAACCTTTCAGTAATGCACACATCATGTACATGGACAATATGAACAGATGATGAGCATCTGGTTCATCTTTGATCTAAAGTGTCCATGGAAACACTCAAAGGCTGATCATATAATCCAACAAGCCCCATCCTTTGTCATAATGAAAGTACAGAGACTCAGTCAGTACAAGCATTCTTAGCAATTATACAGTAGGATATGGTATAGTCTACATTTTACATGTACACATACAATAAGTGGCCTGCATAAAGGGGTCTTTACATAATACAGGGTCTGTGCAATCATTTCATTGACACACTAAAAAGATGTGTACATTATGACACAAGTTTTTTTTCAATACTGCTAAAAAGTATTACCATATAGTGGGAAATTTTGGAGGGATTAAAATTTGGCAAATTGTGAAATTTTGGTGATTGGCAAATTTTACTTTGACAAATTTGTGGCCACGCACCATTTAGCATGTGTATAATGGCTCAAAATGGCGGATTTCATTTTGGCGAATGGATACCAAAACACCAAATTTAATTCCCACCATATGGTAATAATAATAATACAGTATACAGGGAGAGAGAGTATCACACAACTAGTACCACCTACTTTTGGTTTAATTTGTTTCTGTGTGTCCCCATGGCCCAGTCTCCCAGTATCTCCTGATCCAAAGGACCAGACAGTCCCACCATCAGTAGACAATGCCAGGGTATGAGTACCACCGCAAGAGACCTGCTGTACTGGACCAATGGACTCAACTTTAGCTGGGACTTTAGACAATGTTGTAGAACCATGACCTAAAGTTATGACCACACCCACCAGTAATTAATTAAAATTAAGACCACGCCCACTATAACTGCCCCACATACTGCTAATTAATTATTATTTACCTAGTCTGCCATGCTCTCCTTCTCCCCACGTCCATAATTCATTGTCAATGGTAACAGCAGCACTGTGTCTATTGCCACAAGAAACTGATCTAATCACTTTGTTGGAGAGTCCAGCAATTAGCTTAGGAGTCTTCTGTGTTGTATTGTTACCATGACCTAGTTTACCATATTCACCTGTAAGAGGGGGAGGAGAGAAAGTATAAACTAAAGTTATCTCAAAACAGCCTCAGTTTTAAAAATGGTCATAACTTTAAAATACTTTTTTGGAAACAGTTCAAGCTTTCTACATAGCATAAGAGTATCAATATGCATCAAAAAATGTTACAAAAATTTGGAGTCAGTAAATTTCAGTTATTTGTTTAATAGTTTCAATTAGCTTCAGTTGCTGCTAGAGTTACATGTATCTATTGAAGAGGTAATTACATTACATGTATGTGTACAGTGTACTATTACCTGTACAGAGTACATGTATATGTATTCTCATACTGACCTTCTCCCCAGCTGTATACTTTTCCATTTTTATCGACAGCGAGAGAGTGTCCATCAGATCCTCGTGACGTTGCCATGGACTTGACGAGTGTCCCTTCAGGAAATGTGTCCAAGTCCTTGATTGAGGTCTGCACGTCACTGGTACCCAAACCAAGCCGACCATAACTACCCTAGAGATCAAATGAAGATGTACATGTACATGTACCGTATAACGGTTTATTTTCGTGGTAAAATATTTTTGAAAATTTCGCGTCTTTTGCTCCGTCATGAAAATTTTCCAGCATAAAATTCTGCATCTCGATTGCTACATAATGCAGTATGCAAGCTATTCGTAAAAATTAATTCCACGAAATCTTAAGGTGGATTCTCAATACGACGCTTTGTTTTTCATGCGCTAACGTCATGACTGGAAGTACTGTATAAACCAATAGGAGAATGTGTCAATGCGTCAATGCGTCAGAATGGAAATGGTTTCTAATCTGACACATGAAGCATGCTCCCATTGGTTTATACAGCACTTCCGGTCATGACGGAAGTGGATGTGTCATATTGAGAACCCGGCTTTAGAAATGCAAGATTCGCAAAAAAATTCCACCACGAAAATTAACTAGTATAGGGTATGCGTGCAAGTGAAAACCATGCAAGCTTATAGTGGTATTAATGTCATAATTATAATATCATTATTTATTATTATTATATCATCATTTACTTTTCCACAGCATTTCATGCTTCCATTGTGCAATACCATAAAAGTGCAATACTGCCCAGCAATTATCTATCAAAAGAGATAATTATGTGTACAGTGTACTATTACCTGTACAATATGTATATGTATTCTTACTGATTGTATATTGTTCATGTGAGGTACTGGAGTTGCTTTAAGTAATTTCTCAGTTGAGCCCATCGCCAACTGATGGCTACTGTTACTACCAAATGCATAGGCCTATACAAATAAAATAAATTCATAAATAAATCAATTAATTAGATAAATTATGAAACGGTGTAGTTCTCATGAGTAGTAAACATAAAGCTGTTAGTGTTACTATTAATTACTGCTAGTTCCTGCAATCAATTGGAATAATTCCCTTGCAATATTGGAACAACTACTGTACATGCATGCATGGACTTCCCACCTTTGCTTCTGGTGCAAGGCAAGCAATAAATAAAACAAATCGTTCTTATTGTTTAACATTAATCTAATTATATGCATGGACGGATAGCAGCCTCAACCATACACACTATAATAGTGTACATGTACATGTATATGGCATACATACAGTATGTGTACATGTATACATGTACATGCACACTATTATACATGTACATGCACACTATTATACATGTACATGTGTAGGTATATGGCATATGTGTATACATGTACATGTATTATGCGTATAAGGCAGTACATGTACATGTATATCCATGTATTGTACATGCATGCATATAAATATAAGGTACATGTATGTGTACAATGTACGTGTATAAATGCTACATGTGTTAGTAAACAAATGTTAACAAATTACATTACAGGTGAAATGACTTCACTGCTAAGAGTTGCTATGACAGCACTCTACATGTACATGCATGATTGAGTGACAAAAACAGTGGCCCAGAAACATATGTTACAAAAAACTAATGTGACAGCTGTATGTAGGTTGCTAAGATATTAATAAGAACATAATGATCCATTAACATTGCAATTTCACTGCATCCCATTTCTCTCCCTCTTTGTCCCCTTTCATTGTTATAGACTTACATCAGATGTTGTTGAGGTGATTTCTCTCTCCACATTACTCTCACCACAGAATGAGTTAATGCAGGACTGGGAGCCTTCATATAACTAGTACAGGGAGAAGAGAGAGAGGGAGGGAGGGAGGAGAGAGAGAGGAAGAGGAGGGAGGGAGGGAGAGAGAGAGAAGGAGAGAGAGAGAGAGGAGAGAGAGGGGGAAATTTATGATTGAATAACGCACAATAACATTATATGTACTGTACATTAATATTAATGCATAGCGCTATGTACATGTACATGTACTTACTTCACATATCAATTGACCAATAAACTCCATTACAGTAACATGACCATTAGGAGTAACCTCCTTGGGAATAAATTCTTTCCATTCTCTGCTATTACTGACATCCTACAATGACAACAACAAGAACAAAAACAGCAACAAATAAAACTAAAATTCAAGGCTTCTCTTAATAATAATAATAATAATAATAATGTAGTTTCTCTTTCTATTTTTTTGTTTCTTTTTTCTTTCTATATACAGGGTCCTCCCTTTTTGTCTCCCTTTTGTCTGTTTTGAGTCTTTCTTGTTATAATGATAATAATAATAATAATAATAATAATAATAATAATAATAATAATAATAATAATAATAATAATAATAATAATAATAATAATAATAACAACAATAACAATGATGATGATGACAGATATTTTTTTTACTTATTAGTAGATGGTAATTACGATAATAACAATAACATGAACATGTACATGTAGATCGTGTATAGTAGCAATATTTATGAATACATACAGTTTTGTGATGAATCTCTTTCAATACAAACTGACAGACATCCAGTGACAAAAAAGGAAGTGATAAATCATCATTACCAGGACCAGTTTCCTTATATCCAGCCATTACCTCAAGGACAGAGAGGGCCCAGGAGCTAATGCTAGAGAGTGTCCCTTCTTGTAGTGTAATTAATAATGAAATCTCTAATGCTAGCCTTCTCTCCTCAGAACTGACAGAAGAGGAAGCAGCTATAATCCAGTGAAGGAACTCTTTTCCTTGGGAGAGACACGAGGAGGCTAGTGGTGAGAGAGATTGAGTGGAAGTGTTAAAGGACAGAGGAGGGAGAGAGAGGAAAGTGTTCACTATTGTAGTTAATAGTTCTTTAGGCAAGAGAACTTGCGGTACAGGGAATGATGAATCTATGTTGAAGAGAGAGGGGGGGAGAGAAAGAAATACATGTATAAAATATTGTACATTTTATTGATCAAGAAAGCAATTTAAAAGAGGTATATATACACTTATACAAGGAGAGGAAGAAGCTTCATTCCAGTGTAAAGGAAGAGAGGGGGAGAGAGAGAGACAGGGGAGAGATTAATCAATGACATAATAGTGCCGTTTCATAATTAAAATCTACATTATAAGTGCAATAAAAATGGAAGCGGAGAATGTACATGTAAGTATGAAATTCAGCAGAACTACAAGTGTCGCTAGTTAGTTAGTAGTAGACACTTGATTCCTAACACTAACTGCAAATAACTCAAATACTACTGAAATGTGATAGCAACAATTCAGACCTAACATGTAGTGTCATTAAAAATACACACTGCATAAGTGTACATGACTACATGTAGGCTTACCAAGAACGCCAGCTTCCTGTAACGATCGGTGGAGCTTCTGTTGCCACGAGAGCTGATCCCACATTTGCCGAAGGAGAGAGAAGGTCAGAGAGACGCCACTTTTAACCCCAACCTCCATTAGAACGCTATCCGGTGGTTTAACTCCAACCCCCCCACCACCCTCTTTCTTCTGATCCTTGGCATCATTTTCTGCATTCTCTTTATTTTCTTCTTCCGATAATTTTGTCAGGACCACTTTCAAGTTTTCGACAGAGTAAAAGTTCTTTGTTGCCATGACGACACGTCTCCAAACTGCTTCTTGCTTGCGGAACAAGACAGAGGAGAGGGTGTGGCCAAAAGGCTGGAGGGAGTCACGTAATTGAGCCCGTAACTTCTCATAGAGTCTCTGTCCCTCTTTGCTATCAGGTGCAGTGAATTCACTAGTTATGGCAAGGTCTGTATCAGCTCTTTTTATTGGGACAGCATCGCCATCTTGAATTAGCTCGTCATAAAGTTGAGCAGCAGTCTGGGGGTGAAGAAGGGAGGTCAGCCCTTTCTTTATCCACTCGCTGTCCTTTCCTTTCTTTGCCCCACAGTTTTTGAAATGGAGTTCTTCGTACATACTCTCTCAGCGTTCCTTTACGCCGCCATCTTTAAATTGCAGGCGTGGTCCGTCCCGCCCAAATGCAAAATGCGGAAATGAAGCGCATGCGCATTAGTTTTTCCCGGGCTCTATGGGTTTCAAAATGGCGGGTATCGTCACGCCCATCACACCTCTTTCAAAATGGCTTCCAGTCTGTATCTTGATACGAGTGAGAACGTCAAAATGGCACGAGAACTAGCTCTAATTGGCAATTATGAAGAGTCAGAAATCTATTATTCAGCTGCCATTGGGTCGTTAAAGAGACTACAGAGTCCTATCAGGGAGGGTTCGTCAGGATTCAAGCTAGTAAAAGAGCTAGAAAAAGAACTAGAAATTGTCTTATCGTTGAGATCTACTTTGTCCAGTTTTAAGGATCGTAGACTCGAACAGCAATCGCAGGACACGCCCATACGTGATCCAGTGTCACGCCCACCTGTACGACCGGTTCACATTGTATCGAAACACCATCTGGGTGGGGGAGAGGAAAACGAGAAAAGAATCTCCGAAGACAACATTCAGCGGAAACCCCACGTCTCAAAACCTCCGCTACGTAAGCACAATCCTGATATTAATGGGAGAGGCTTCTCAAGAGGGGGAGGGCGGGATCACGGAGGGTCTCCCCACGTCCGTCAGTCTGTGGGCGTGGCTAAGAAGCAGCCTGGAGGGGGAGGGGCAGGCCAGGACAAGAATAAGCCCAAGAAGACCGAGAAAGAGAAAGAGAATAAAGACGGAAAGTTTGATCACCACGGCTACGATAAAGACCTTGTAGAGATAATGGAGAGAGATATACTCTTACGGGATCCCAACGTCAAATGGTCTGATATTGCTGGACTCAAGGAAGCCAAGAGATTACTAGAAGAGGCTATTGTGCTACCTTTATGGATGCCTGACTACTTCAAAGGAATACGCAGACCGTGGAAAGGCATATTAATGGTTGGCCCTCCAGGTACTGGTAAAACGATGCTTGCTAAAGCTATTGCCACGGAATGCGGAACCACATTCTTTAACGTCTCATCATCAACACTTGGCTCTAAATATAGAGGAGAATCTGAGAAACTAGTTCGTATATTATTTGAAATGGCCCGTCATTATGCGCCCAGTACTATATTCTTTGATGAGATTGACTCTATAGCTAGCAAGAGAGGAAGTGAGAGTGAGCACGAAGCATCAAGACGTGTTAAATCAGAGCTCCTTGTTCAAATGGATGGGGTGGGAGGAGCATGTGGAGGAGGAGGAGGAGGGGAAGACGCTAGTAAAATGGTTGTCGTTATAGCAGCCACTAACTACCCGTGGGATATAGACGAAGCTCTTAGAAGAAGACTAGAGAAACGCATTTACATACCGCTACCCGATCAGGAATCAAGACGAGCACTTCTAGATATCAATTTGAAAGAGGTTAAGCTAGCAGAGGGAGTCGATTTAGATAAAATAGCTCAGTCATCCGAAGGATACAGTGGAGCTGATATAACTAGCCTCTGCAGAGATGCATCAATGATGAGCATGAGACGACTGATGGAAGACAAAGAAATGAGACAGTTAATACAAGAGAAAGGGATGAGCAAATTAAAGGAGCGACCTGATTTAAAGGAGAAACTAGAAATGCCCACGACTGATGAGGACTTTGCAACTGCACTCCAGCGTTGTTCCAAGAGTGTGTCAAGCGAAGATTTAGCAAGATATGAAAAATGGATGGAAGAGTTTGGGTCTGTTTAAATGAATAACTGACACTACATGTATTTTGCCTCTTCACACATTTATGATTCGTATCTACTTGTATTCCACTCTCTCTCTCTCTCTCTCTCTCTCTCTCTTTATGATAATAATTTATTATCTTATTATGTCACATTATCATATGTGTACTGAATCCATCCATTGCTCTAACATCATTCACAACACCACCTGCTTTATCTTAGCCATTGACCTTCGCATTAGTTATTATGATATAGTTAGTTCAGTTTTGTAGTGTCAAGTGTCAGCATTATAATAGGAAATGGAAAGAGGAACCAGATTGTGTACTTCAGTACCTCAGTCTAGCCCTGTTTCCTATCCCTTCCTATGTCTTCGAAACCATATTGAAATAAGATTCAAGTTATTATAGGACAAATAAGCTATGCTAATGTGAACTAAAATATGATACTAAAAGCATAATATTGTTACTAATGGGGAACATTTGTACTGTACAATGTATATACATGTATACATTATGTTCTCACTGTGAAATTATTGATTTATTTGATTATTGGTGCTTGTTGTGGTGCCTCTGGCAATCGATAAAGCCATTATGCAATCTGCACTTTTACTGAAACCTTTTAGAAAGTTTCTAGACAGTATTCTTCAATTAGATTGTTTCTATATTCGGCATATCAATGTATGCATTCTCATCCCCCAAAGGATGAGAAGTTTTAAGCAATGTATGTATTTTCATCCCCCAAAGGATGAGAAGTTTTAAGCAATGTATTCATTATCATCCCCCAACGGATGAGAAGTTTTAAGGAGGTTGGGAAGTCCACGTAGTTTAATTGCATTACCTGGGATCATCCCAATAATACAAAATGCTTGTTACTGGACTTTTATTCACAACATTACTATAAACATGCATGCAGTCTTGTGTTATATAGCTATGGTTACATACACCGATTTCAAGTGTAGTCCATGATTGGTCATGTTAATCATCTACATCATAATAATGACAAAATCAGGTTTCTTAGATACCTGGCAGTGCTAATGATACACAGTGCTAATGATACCATTATGTAAACAGTGCTAATGGACTGCACTGACGTAGTATATACATCCTTTTGATGTGGATAGAGTATCTAAACAAAGAAACCATGGTTACTATAGCTTTTAGTATTTGGAGGAGAGAAGGTCATGCCTGCTGCCATACTTCTCTTTATTGTGCTATAGAGTGATTAGAGTCTATAACTAATAGTAGCTATAATGGGCATGCACAATGCAGCCATGCAGAGGGTTTATAGAAACATCATTAATTAAACTCATTTATATGCAATAGAGAGCCTCAGGAGAGCTGGAGGAGATAATGTTAAGGTGTTTTTTTCTTGGTGACACCTTTTTTACATCTTTAATTTTATGCTGCAAAATGAGATGAATGTGAATAGCTTGTAAAATTTAATACATTTCAAGCATTATTTATCATTTAAATGTGCATAATACTTTGATATTTTGCATGCAAGGCCTTGACAATGGAGCTGTTAAATCATGGCTCATGCAGCCAGGACTACTGACCATTGTGTGGAAGGTAGTGACAAAGTCTGTTAATAGGAAGCAATGAATGATACAATCATAGCAACCATGCCTACCTAAATATTAGTTTTCACGCTCTTACTTCCTGTGTTGCCATGGAGAGATATTATGATATCTGTTTACCTCCCCCACATTTACATGCTAAACAAAATGGTGCCAGGAGTATAAAAGAATCATTCTAAACTCATCATGCATCAAGTAAACTCTCTTCTCCTTAAGAAAAATACAGAGGAATCTTTCAATATACTCCATTACTATAGAAGTTATATCAACATGTTCCACACTAGTTTGCTATATTCAGCTCTCACTGCATTCGCCGTTATGCAGCTAGCATCTGCTTCACCATTACAGAAGTGTTACAATACTGGCACCAAGGAAGTATTATACTATGGTGTTCAAGTTGCTGATGTATTGCTGGTAAGTGTAAAATTTCCTGTAAATCATTATTCATCATAATATCATTTTAAATACAGACACAAAAGTTGTACAATCAAATGAATGACAATTATGAAGCTAAGAAATACAATGTTGAGACTTTGTTGCTTAACATAGCAAAATTGGAGCAATATCGTGGCAAACTTCATCAAGGCAACACAAACCCATTGGCTATCAAAACAGTGAATGAACTAATCAATATGGCAATTGATTCAGCCTGTAAAATGGTAAGATGATAAACTAATTTAATATAGATTCATTATTCTTATAATTTTGACCTAGATAAGAAATGATATACTCGTTGTTGGCAATGCCAATTTTTCTTGCACTCCAAGTGAATTCCAACAAATGAGATTGATGTTAACAGCACACTCAGATCTAAAGGCAGTGATCCATAAAGCTAAGGACATAGTGGGAGACTTAGGAAATTTGGAGGCATGTTACTGCTGGAAAAAAGATCAAATGAAAAAGGACAGCAAAGTGTCACAAGTTAGAGGCTACTTTGATACATATTTCACTTGTAATATGTAATCTAGCTCTGCTGAACTTTCTCAGGATGTTAGTATTTATTTAAAATAATTATTATTATTCATAATTATCTGTTAGCAAATTAAAATGCACATATTCACTTGTACATGAGCCACAACATGCACATGATTTTGAATTTAATAGTATTATTTATTTATGATAATAAGATGGTGCTATGAATAATAATCCATTCCACCACTGCCCACATCTAGCTCTTGGGCAATAGATCTATATTTAATATTATTTTAAAGAAATTGCTTCAGGAAGAGTACTGCTATTAGGATCTACTTCACATGCACTGAACAGGTAGGTAATAAATAAAACCTTAGTTTGCAGGACTCTTACATCATTTGGACCAAACCCAATAGCGTTTGCTGTGATTTACGAGAGAAAACTTATAGGGGACGGGAAGGAAAAGGCTGAGCAAATCCGAGCAATGCACAGGAAGCCATAGCTATATTTTTGTAGCACCACCTCTCTCTAGCTCTGCAGAGAGCAGCCCCACCCATATCCGGATAATTATAGCTGTTAGTAAACTGCAGCCATAGCACCAAATTTTGTAGTACATCACTAGAACTATAGCACTGCTAATTATCAGTAATTGATCTGACTGGAAGATATCTACACTATAAGTTTTGGAACTGCCTCTTGATTCAATATATGGGTTTTGTTTTGAGGAAGGAATGTTTCTTGCAACATCCTCGCAAAGTTTGGAGCACAGAGGGAAGCCATGCAATTAGTACATTAATGAATACTGCATGCATTTACATACATGCTCTATGGCTGTATGGCACAATTATGGCTGCATGCCAACTAGTGAGCATAAAGCATTTATGTGCTGATTCAGCTAGTCAAGCATTTGTATATATAAGAGCCTGCAAGAGCAATCATCGACACAGTTAAAGTACAGCAAGCAATAGTAATTACAGATAATGTCTAGAATCATCAGCTTATATCTTCTTATTGTGGCTACCCTTCTTCAATTAGGCAGTACCACTGACCCAGTAAGTGCACTTAGTGATCTAAAAAGTGGAGTTAGATTCTTACGGGGAATACTGGTAAGCAACAAGTGCTATGCTTTACATAATTATGGTCCATTAATGAATCACTTTTGTCTTAGAATCATGGAACTAGAGTGACTTTATTACCGAGTATAAAATACTTGTCACCAATGCTTGAGATACTAAGATTAAGAGCTGATATTGAAAAGGATGCTGCAGTACACAAAGTCCTTGTTCATTTAGAAGACAGCATTTGTGAAGAAGTATGTGCATGTACATGTACATGAATATATCATGCAGTTTGTCTTTCATGCATGCTTTGATAAACACAGGTACTCTATTACATTATTTACTTATGCTATACTATAGGTGGAAGAAAAAACAAGAGAGGTTGCCATGCAATACAGCTGAGACACAAGGAGTTTCTATAGCTATGAGAGCACAAATGGAAGTTACTCACTTGATACGTGCACTGACTTTGTACAAGAGGAGCTCAAGAATCAATGAATGCAAATGGGCCAGAGATAAGAACATGTACTCAGAGAATGAAGCAGTGAATGAATACTTAGAAGCAAAAATAAATGGACATACATCATGTAAATTTTATCGAGTATGAAGTATGACCATCACTTGACCATCGCACTTTCACATTATAGTTTTGTTAGTTAATATTATAATAATCACTATTAAATTAACAACTCCACTGACACAGTTACGTTCATTTTAGAGACAGGAAATTTAATAATAAACTTATAATTAATTATCATTGTTCGCTAACCAAATCTTCCTTCCCAGAATTGTCATATGGTTCCATATCTTCATCAGTATCAGTGATTGAATGATAGGAATCTTCATTAATGGAACCTTTAGAATCAGATCCACTTCTTACAATTCCAGCACTTTTATTGTCCCTTTTATCAAATTTTCCGAATTTTTCTGCATCAGATTCTTCCTCTTTTCCTTCCTTTGTATTGCTAGTTCTTTTATTCTTTTTAGTCTTTTCTTTATTTTTCTTTGATTTTTTATCATCCTCTGGCTCTCTGTATAACTCCTTTACTTGTTCCGTGATGTCAAAGTCATACTTGCCAAGATTCCCTTTTTTTCTTGCCTTCTCTAGAACGGCTTTTGTAGCTTTGGCCTTTTGTTTCTCAGTGTCTCTAAAGACTCCCCATATCACCTTCTTACCCAACCACACACATGGGAGTATGCAGCAGTAGTAAAAAAAGAAAACAGATTTCAAAATTTCAACAAACTTAATATCAGTGAGCCTACAAAAACATGGCAACAATAATTATGCATTTATAAAAATAATAATTAGAATACATGTACATGCACATACATGTATGTACATGTACATGTATAATGGTACATACTCATTTTGGCATGTGCATGAGTATGAGTAGTTTCTCCAGTCGTCTAGTCTGTTTGGTTTCTTTCCCATCTCTTTCAATCTCATCACTTTCCTTTTAAATCTTTCCTTACTAGCCAGTGCTCCTCTACACTGGCCAGAGCATTTAACAAGAGTTGGACCTATAAAAATAATTGATAAAATACACATGTACATGTACAGCACATGTAGTACCAGTTTATTTTCACAGTAGAAAATTTTCGCAAATCTTGCATTTCTAAGATTTTAGGGAATTAATTTTTGCAAATGCAGTCCGCACTATGTGGCAATGGAAATGGAGAATTTTTTGGTGGAAAAATTTTGCAACAGATGAAATTTGCGAAAATATGACACAGTGAAAATAAACTGGTATACAGTATATTAGTAATGATTTTAGCTAACCTGTTCCTTCTAGGATTCCTTGCTTTTTTAATTCCTTGGCAAATTGCTGTGCCTTTGTCTGTCGACAGAACAGTATCTTTCCAAATGCTAGTTTTATGAAACCAAAAATGAGAAATAGTCCACCAAAAGTTCCAACTATTCCTTGTAAGCCAATTGCTTCCAAGATAAGGAAAAATATTCTTACAAATAAAGAGGCTGCGTGAATTTCTATCGTAGGAGGTTTTGGACATTCAACAGAGAAACCATCCTCACTATCACACTAAACATGAGAGATTAAATTAATAAATGTAGCATGTACATGTACATTTACACATACATGTACATGTAATTGTAGTATGTACAATCTACTGTACATGTAGCGTATACAAAATATGTGGCGTGGTCTGAGAAAATCGACCTTAACACAAAAAAATTAGAAAATTATATTATTATATCAAAAAATTGCTCTTACGATTCTCTATTGATTGGTACTTGTTGCGTGTCAATGCGGCTTACCCATCTCGAGCTATAAGCCTTCGTATATCACTGTTACATTTTTGTTACTTATCACATTTTTGGCCTTATCTCATTTTCCTTAAATTGGACTTAAGGTTGATTTTCTCAGACCATGTCACATATAGTAGCAAATAAAAATAATGTAATAAAAATTGAGGTACATGTAATTTAAGCAATTTTTGGGATAAAAATGCACATTGTATAAAATGGTGCTCCATATTTTTCAAAATCTGATAATTTTTTTAATGCCTTGTTGGAATTAGCACAAACCTCATGTACAACAAAAAAAGTAGCAAGGGTGCAAATGTACATGTACAGTACATAAGAGTCGTGTGTACATGTACATGTACATATGTATTTAGAATACCGAGCATCCACAGGATCCAAAACAAAAGCAAGTTGAATTTGTTCTAAAATTAACAGTTGCAGTTTGGATTAAATTATAATCCGAATCATACAAATGAACTAAAAGAAAGAAAAAATAAACAAACTCCTTCTATTAGCCATACATGTGCTCACCATCACAAACATAGTTTTCTCCAGTTGCTCTGTAAGACTCGACTCTGAATTCAGATTTCTGAATTTGTCCCGGATCCAAGTTAAGAACTCTTGCACGAACAGTGTGGATACCATTGCCACAGTTAAGAACTGATAACTACATGTACATGTAAATCCATTTAATAATAAAATAATTATAAATAATGGAATAAAGCTCACAGAGAACTCCGCAGTAACATCCCCAGTGTTTTCAACATCCACTACAATCTTACCGCTATCAGACAATGCTTCAAAATCAAGAGCATAAACATCAACAATCCTTCCACTACCACTGCAGTATAATACAACAATAATGAATGCAATAATAATTATAACAATATTTATTAGATGTAGTACATGTAAATGTACATGTATGTCCAGGAGATGAATAACATGTACTGTATTTGCCTGATTAGCAGCCCGGGTATTTATTAATAATTAACAGGGTGGAAAAATTGCATAAAAAGAAAAAAAAGCTGCCAAAAGGAGGGATTGAATTTATGTCCCATAGGTCAGCTTCAAGAGTTAAGCTATTTGGAGCAATCTAAAGTATAGGCTACCTAAATTGGGTACAATATGCAGGTCTATAGTGAGAATATTTTAAGGATGAGCGTTCATTCAAGCTTGGCTTCTAATTAGGCAAATACAGTACATGTACTTACACATTATATACAAACACTATGTCGGATGCATCAATCCTCAGAGATACAAACGTATTGTGGAGGTCTTCCAGGAGGAATCTCAGTATAAACGATGTGTTAGTGGCATTGGTTGATGGATGGATCTTCCCAAAGCTTGACAATAAGAACCTTGCTGTTTTATTATTTCTTAGACGATACTATGAAATAGAATAAAATAAAATAAATTCAGTTATGATGCTATAACTTACGTAGTCTACTTCCCATAGATCAATTGGTTGATTATAAAAACATCTATACATACATGAAGATTTACATGTGCATGTACTGTAGCACATGAAAAATAATGTACTTACGAGCCATTGAATCCATCACACCTTCCCTGCTGGCGTCTGAAGCCAGAATAAGAGACTCCAATTTTGCCACATTCTGTGCCACTGAGATCAACCAAGTGTCTATCAACCATTAGCCAGTCAACTGAGCCATTCTAAAAGTAATAATAATATGTATATGTACATGTACATGTACATACATGTAATAATTATTATTATGTACATGTACATGCATGTTGAAAGTTTGAGCTAATTAATTTGATTAAAATTTTAATTTCATAAAATTTTCAAAAGTTGCTTCAAAGTACATGTGTACATGTAGCAACACCTTCAAAAGTAATTCCAATATGAACAAAATGGTAAAATTATTATTAATAAAAACTTACCACATATTGGTCTGGAGGACTTTCTCCAGTCCAATGCGTCAAACTGGGTATCAGTAAGTATTTGTATGAAAAATCCCTTGGACCTTGTGCACCAAGTAAGTCACCTTGAATCTCTCCAAATACCTTAATGTTATAGTATAATTATACATACAGTAAAGGCATAAGTACAGTATAATTATTATACAATGTATACATGTACATGTGCATGTGCTTTGTGCTACATTGCATTTCAGTATACTTCTTTGATAAAATTGATATAAAAATTATATTTTTTGTTGTGCAGAAATTTGAGCAAATTCCAATCAAAATTGGATTATTTGCGTGAATTTATAAAGTACTCCAAAATCTGGTCAAAGACCATGTTTTTCATGGTACAGGAACTCTGGGCAAGTTTTGCCAAATATGAAAATCACAGGTTTTATAATTTTTTATGCATCTTATGTTGTGTAGAAAGCTTGAACTGATTTGGATAAGTTTGGATTTTTTTACAAAGTTTTAAAATCGATCAAAAATTGGACCAAAGTCTCTGTACTACATACAGTGCTTTAGTCAAATTTCACCAAAAATGGTAAGTAGAAAATTTCCATTTTTATAATTTTGTCTGATGCACATACATTGATATTGTGAGAAACTTTGAACTGATTCCAATCAAAATTGATTTTTTTACAAATTTTAAAGGTTCCTCAAAAATGTGGCCGAAGTCCCTGAACTACAGTACAGGGGCTTTGGTCAAATTTCCCCAAAAATGAAAACCCCATTTTTATATTTTTTTTTCTTATACATATGCATGTTCTTATGTTGTGTAAAAACTTTGAGTTGATTCTGATTATAATTGAATTTTTAATGAAGTTTTAAAGTTGCTCAAAAATTGGGTCAAACCATATAGAGTAGTACAGGGACTTTGGTTTAAATAATGTTGCCAAAAATGAAATTAAAACTTTTTCGTTTTAAAAATTTTTGATACATTGACATGTTCTCATGTTGTGTAAAATTTTGAGCTGGTCCCAATGAAAATTGAATTTTTAATAATTTTTAATTTGCTCCAAATTCTGGCCAAAGATTGATTTAAAATTTGCTCAAAATCCAACCAATGTCCCTACTATAATAGCACAAGATATTTTGCCAAAAATCATCAGGGGAAAGATTTCTCCATTTTTATAATGAATGTACACACTTACCCTGCCATTTAATGAGCGACCAAGCGTTCTCGTAGGATTTAAATTAAAAGTTGAAAGCAGAGACCAGTCTGCAGTCAGACTGCCAGCAGTTTTATTGACACCATTAAATTGAAGTATTCTCACTGTTATATTGTACTGGAGAGATGGCGGATCAATGGTAAACACATTATACCTTTAGCACAATAAAATAATGAGTACATATTGATACAGTTACTACCATAGGCTGCTCATGGTCATGCAATGAGCTGAGCCCCATCCAGTTGATCCTGTAAATAGCCAATTTGTGCAGTCGAGCTCGGCACGATTTATGTATCTTTGATTCAAGCTATTGCATCTGCAACAAAACCCCTAGAATAATAATTATTGTTATACATGTATACATAATAATACTAATAATATGTTTCTTTTTTGTGCATCTTCCTCGTGCTTACTTGACTGTCCCAAACTCTGTCACCGGAAGCATCAACTTGAGCTCCGCATGCTAGATCATGAGTTTCTGAGTGCCAAGCATCATTGCAGTCTTTTTTATGAAAATAAGTCTCTGATGGTTTTCCATTAGCTGACTGCAATAATAATAAAAATACTAATAATAATAATAATAATAATAATAATAATAATAATAATAATAATAATAATAATAATAATAATAATTCTACTGTGCCTACTTGCAATTGACCAATCAGATTGCTTAATTTTAGGTTCATAAATAACTTACATACTACTAATTTTCTCGGGAGGTTAATAATTTAAAATTAATAATAAAAAATAAAAAACTAAAAAATTGATTTAAAATTAATAATAAAAGTAAAAAAATTAAAAATTAAAAATTAAAATTAAAAAATTACTAATATAAAAATTAAAATAAAAAAATTAAAGGGAAAAATAATAATAATAAATTTAAAAAATAAAAATTAAGAAAATAGAAAAATGAAAATGCATGTAAATCAAAACTAAAAAAAAAACAGAAAAATTAAAAATAAAATAAAAAATAATAAATTAAAAACAAGAAAAATAAAAAAGGAATAAAATACTATTTTCCTTATCATTTCTTTGTGTTGTGTCTCTAACTTAACCTAACCTATCTTTAACCTTACTTTATTTTATTATTAATAATTTTATTATTATTAATAATTAATATTATTATTATTATTATTATTATTATTATTATTAATAGATCACCTGATGCCTTATAATAATAATAATAATAATAATAATAATATAAATAAAATAAAATTAAAAATTTTAAATTGAAAATAATAAAAAACTAAAAGCTGGATTGATTTATTTATTTTAATCTTAACTATTCAAAAATGTGAATCAATGGCTCATGCTCACCCCTCAATGTTTACATTCCCTAGTATTATAATAATGATGATAATAATGATAATGATAATGATGATGATAATGATGATGATGACGATGATGCCTAAGCAAGCAAAGCAATGTACTACATTTCTGCTTAAATAAACACCCATGGCTAATATTTTCCAACTATAGATATGCACATTATACCCAGTATAAGTGCCCTGGCATTTAGACTGTCCCAGATAGCCTAACTGTTTGAGTAAAGTTTTGAACACCATAAGGCCATCCACTTATGGGCTTTTTATTCTCTTTTACATAATTTTTTCCCTGTTAAGAAATAAATGCCAGGGCGCTTAATCGAGCAAATACTGTAAATGTCTAAATACAATAGATCTTGCTATATTCACATGTACCACACCATATTATCATTTTAATGGTGTTTGCTCAAGCTCACCACAATAAAACAATAATACACTACCGTATAGTGCTTTATTTTCGAGGAGCTAAACTTTCGCTATTTTCGCAGTTAGCATGAAACCGCGAAATTAAAGATCCACTAAAATTTCAATTGCCATTAAAGGTGTGGCACTAACATTGCGAATCCGCAAAAATTATTTCTGCGAAAAATTGATTTTTGTCAATCCGCAAAATTTTAGCTCCGCAAAATTAAAGCGCTATACGGTATTAATAATAAACTGATAATAACTAATAATAAATAATAATAAAATAATAAATATAATAATTAATAATAAAAATCTGATCAAACTTACACCAACATAATGAACTCTATAATTAGATACAACTTCCGTTTTTGATATTTCGATGCGGAATGGCCTCCTGAGTCGACTCAACTCAGTCTCATCTTCCTGATATGCTTGATCAATGTTGGCATACAGTGATTCCGTTTCTCCCTGCAATGAGAACAACACATCAATAGCTAGAGTTCTTTAATTATATCAAGTCCCACAAGCAACTTAATGCAACTATAGCAAAAGCCCCATTCTACTGAACTAACTAACTAATGTCTTTCACTGAAAAAAATTGTGCGTTGAAGTTACAGATTTTTGTTTCAAAATAGCACAAAAATTCATTCTGGTTCTCTGGCATGTCAAGTTTTAAGATAGTATGAGATTTCTGTCTCAAATGCATACAGAATTTGTGCTTGTTTCTTTTTAGGACTCTTTCTTCAACAGTAATTCCCCGTATATCACTACTGGGATTTGACATTTTGATACTCAACGACTAACTTGTCCCCCTGATAGTGCCATGGAGACTAATATCTTCTTTTTGCACAGCCCTCCCTCACTGGTAGTTGGCTCTTTATCATTTCCTGCCTCACACGTACTGATACTGCTCTGAGATATAATGGAGGAGGTTATCTCTGGGACTTGGTAAGCAAATATTATAAGTAGAAGAAGCCAGAGGCAGACATTCATGCTGGTGCAGTCCGCGAACAATTAATTACATACGTAACCATAGCAGCACGTAGCTACGCTAGAATTTTTACTAGTAGCTGATTTGTGTGGGCACAGATGGGGTAGTTTTGTTTTAGCCAAATTTGAGGTTGTATCTAATTACTTGTTTATGCTCTTTTTTAATAATAATTACTCATTGTGCCTATGTTGTCATAAATAATGCTGATTTCATACTTCCATTTCATTTCAGTAAATTATTTATACAAAAATATCATGATGCAATAATAAGATTGAATTACAGTAATTAAGTGCCTTAGATGTAACAAATGAAAACTTTAGTCATAATTATATCTGCTGCAATCCTCATCTAAGTACGAACATGAGTCTTTTATGTCAATTATTTCTTTCAGTAAGTTGTATTTTTTAATCTTGCACGCTTTCCATTTGTTACTATCTGTGACCTCGCAGCCTATATTTTTGAATGGACTACTTCTCAAACGATGATTTATTTTTTCTGCTTCTTCTCTTATTTTGAGCTCAGTGATTGCCCTGCTTGTCTGTTTTCCACTCTTGCATGCCTTTGGATAAACCTAAATTAATGATACATTATACTCAGCATTTACTCACAATTCATTTTGTGTCTTACCGTACACGAGTTTTTTATCATTTCATCAATCAATGATGCAAAGTATTTTAGAAAATTTGATTTCCCTTCTTTTTGCATCATTTCCAATTGGAATTTCTTCAGTCTGTGAATCTTGATATAGTCTGACTGGTTACTTTCTTCATCAAAATCAGGGAACATCCTTTTTATGTTTTCCTCCTGTATAATTTTAAAAAGTGGCATTATTGCAGTGAATTAAACTTGTAATTTACATTATATGTAATGAATAAATATATCAGTTCATTATATGTACACTTACCATTTCATTTATTGTTAAAGCTGTTCCTTCCTTAAGTACATCTTTATGAGTCTCAGCACGTTCACATTTACAGCATTCTGTACTATCGCAGGTCTTAACTTCTGAATCATTGGTTGATCGTGATACTACTGGAGATCCTGTAGCTAACTGTATTAATAGAACACTCCACAATATAGAGCCTATCATTATTATAGGGAACTTGAGTGGTTGAATATACATACTAAATCTAGTTTTCTTTCTCTCTTTTTATATGCTCATGAGGTATCATGTGATGCATTGATGACCTATTCCAGCTACATTGCATCTATACTACATCACAAAGCAATTAGTACACCCACATACTACAAATGAGAAATCTTTCAAGTGATATAAAGTTTCAACCACAACATGTCCACTGAAGCCTGACTATAGTGGCAAATGAATGTACAGTGAGTCATAGACTTTTACATGTATACCTCATCTCTTCTGTATTTTAATTCAAGGAAGTGAACATAGATGAGTATAGTCCCATCACATGTATGATACCTTAAAAGCACATGTGGATGTATATAACATGGTATAGGTATGTCTTTATTTTGCAAAAGTTACGCATCGCCAAACTCATTGATGAGCTATATAATTTGTTGTTATGCAGCTGGAAATAAAAGCACGAAGTAAAATGATATTTTAAAAGTACATGAGGATGTATGTAGTATAGGTACATTTATATCTTCATTTTGCAAAAGTTACGCATCACCAAACTCATTGATGAGCTATATAATTTGTTGTTATACAGCTGGAAATAAAAGCACGAAGTAAAATGATATTTTAAAAGTACATGAGGATGTATGTAGTATAGGTACATTGTATATCTTCATTTCGCAAAAGTTGTGCATCACCAAACTCATTGATGAGCTATATAATTTGTTGTTGTGCAGCTGTAAATAAAAGTACGAAGTAAAAACATACATAGCTGTGAATAGCATAGCTCTGACCAAACATTGAAGTCATTCCCACACTGGGTTAGTTTGGTACCATGTGAGCTCATGAACAATGGCTATTGCATACTTATTGGTATCTGTTGAGGTTTAAGTATGATTCACTTCCCGTGGGGATTGCCTAATACCTTTTGTTCATACAAGTATAATTTGTATGAGGTTGGAATTGCCTCATAACCTGTCATGCTGATATGATACCCTTCAATGCATCCTCAGAAAACTGTCATGGTAATGATGAATATCACATGTCATTGCTACATCCTGTAATGGTTACCCAACTACCCGTCAGTGCAGCCATACGTGATGCATGTAATGACAATATAATTGTGACTAATTGTGAGGCGCTTTCCCTGACTCTCTGAGATTATTGCATGCAATTGTAGGTACTGCGCCTCATGAAATTGAGTTTATTTACTACCTCATGCACCTGTTTGTTTATTCAATGTAAAAATGCACCTAGCTCTGTGGTTTCTTGCTGTAATACGGTATTTCTCTTTACCGGTTCAATGGATGCATATGTAGTTTATCAGTAATAATTACATGAAGGCTGAAATTATGGGTAGACCCCACAGAAACTTCTATAGCATTCGTTTAGTTTCAAGATCTACTAATAGTAATATCAAATACTTATCAATCATAAATTACAAATTTAATAATAATCATAACTGTAATGATAATTGAAATTCATTGTCCCCATCCTTTATAAGGCAAAGAGTTTAAAAGGCTTTCTTTACCATTGAAAGCATTTTCCAGCCATGCTGTATCGTTGAGGCACTTGCCATAAAATTCATTAGTGTAGAGAGAGGATCTAATTTTTCCAGCTTTATCTTCCATCATCTTATGTACACCATAATGAAGTATCTCATCTGTGTCACACAATCTTGATAGTGATTCAGTAGCCTGTAGACAAAATGGTAGCACAATTAAAACAATTAATACAGTACTAGTTCTTAGTTATACAAATTAAAGTAATTGCAATAGTAATAACTCACTTTGCAAGCGTATGCCAGTATATTGCTTATAGCTGGTTCTAATATGCTGTATGGTTCATCTTCATTTAATAACAGATCTTTGTGTAGTTTTATGAGCTTGTACATTTTTTGAATGTCCAGAGGAGCATTAGAGAAACTAGTGTTGTATCGAGAATTCTAAAAATTGTAATTAAAAATAACCTGTAATTAATATATATGATAAAGATACGACACATTTCACTGCATAATAATGTAACGAGCTATCTCACCATGTTAAATTTAGTAGCAAAGGCACCATCAAATAAATTACTCAAACTATTTTTTTCACATGTCGATCGACGTCTAACTGGATTTGAGGCTGCACTCAAAATTAGGAGCAATATCGTAAAGAGAATAGAAAGATGAGAGGCTCTCATTATCGTGATTTTTGTAAGTTGATTAGTAGTAGAAATGTTTGTTTACTTGTCTGTTCTCTCTCTCTCTTTCTCTTCCTTTTATATAGTTTACAATCAGACCTTGGTCAGTGAAGCAGCAAGCTTGATCAATGGACCTTGAAAAATTAATAACACGCATTAAAATAATATAACATTAACGTTAAACAGTTTGTACCGGGGATTAATGCTTATGTAATGTGCAAATTGTCTTATTTCCGGGCAATTGATTTTTCCTGAAATGTTTGTTAACATTGGCTTTGATCCAAAGTGTTAGATGATGCATGGAACAGGAAGTACAATGTATTCATTCGTTAAAAGCATGCATGTGATTGTGTTATGGAACAGGAAATGTGTGAATAACGCATCTATCCAAAGCTTTAGAACAGAAAGTATGTATTCATTCATTATAGTGTTTGGAACAGGAAGTCTAATGTATCAATCCTAACAATGATCTCATGGTTGCTTTTGCTACCTCGTTCGTGTTAGAATTATTGTTACAGTACTCTAGTGCTATGGTTCTTCTTTTCTTAGGCCTCACTGAACTCATAATGACTATTGGAGAACTATATTAACTCCTTCTTTTTCTCATCAAATCATCATGATTATTAATGATAATATTCATTCGCACTGAGCATCAGTAGCAAGTCCTTTATAATATTAATATTGTTATGTCTCAACTCTCAAGCTTCTCTCAGTCTCTCTTCAGTATTTGTTTTGATTATAATAAAAATTTTTAATGGCCTCTTGCCATTTCTTGGTGCTGGTAGTCATTTCCTTTTCTTCCTCTTGTTTTCAAATAAAGTTGCTGGTCCCATTGCAGTCATTGCTTATAACCATTTGACCGTGATACCACTACCATTACCAAGTAAACACAGTTTCGTTTGCATTTAGTGGGGAAGTTTGATCTAGCACTGTTGGCTTCTTCCTCTTATTAGGAAATTTAGTGGACTACCACCTGCTTCAAGAAGAATTATAATTAAAAACCACTATACTCAACTATTAAAAACCTTGTATGGTTTTAAGTGATTTTAAAATATTTAAAATAAGGGGAAAATCAAAATTTCAGAAAATTTAAGTGTATACATGAATGAGTTACTTTTAAAAATTGCAATAAGGAAAGCAAGAAAATCATTCTCTTTTTCTAGTGGGCACAGCTGTCATTTCCGATGATTGTCCTGTTAAAGTTTGAGGTTGAATTGAGTTCAACTCGTTTTCTGAAGATAAATCTGAAGCTGCATTGTGTGATGCTGCTGGAGTTGATGGTGACAAAGGTGTGATTTTATCTTTACCATTATCTACTGATTGCACATGACAGCTTGCAGCTCCAATCCCAGTTTGGTGACTAAATATTTTGTCTCCTTTTGGATCTTTGTACAATGCAATCATCTATTAATTAACAAATTATATTTTAAAGCATAATTATAACATTTTGTGAGACATAAACCTGCTCTGATTTTGATTTTTATGAATTTGTGAGGAATACTTAAAAATTCAGGCAAAAATAATAGTACAAGGGCTACGGCCAAATTTCATCAAAATTGTTTAGGAGAAAATTCTTCATTTTAATAATTTTTGATGCATATAAATGCACTTCCATTGTATAAAAATTTTGAACTGATTCCAATCAAATTAATTTTTTTACGAATTTTTAAAGTTCCTCAAAAATTTGGCCAAAGACTGTACTATAGGATAGGGACTTCAGTCAAATTGGTTACGAGAGAATTCTCCATATTTATATTTTTTTCTGAAGCGTATACATGTACTTATGTTGTATAGAAATTTTGAACTGATACCGATCAAATTTTGATTTTTAGACAAATTTTAAAAGCTGCTTTCAAAGCCTACATGCTTACCTTTGGTATAAAAGTCAAACTCAAGAACACTAAGCCTTCACCAAATACGAGCAATGTCACACAAAACACAAAGACATTCACATAATCGTTGAGAGCAAAAATGACAGCAACCAACAGGATCAGTAGTACAGTTGAAGTATATACAATAGCACTGGTGTACTTGTAATCGTTAATGGCATCAACTTCAATGCTCCTTATCCTAAATGCTAGAGTAACTGCAACAGCATGAGAAATGAAGGAGACAATGACGGTTAGAACTACCCAAGTCAAATAAAAGTTTGTTGTCCCACAGTCTGCAATACAATACATGACACTCACTCCTTGCTCCTAAGAAAAAAATAGTCAGTACATTATAGGTTGTATATCCAACTACCGTATTTCCTCAATTACTAGCTGCAGCTACTATAAATTTCAACTGAAGCCAACCAGGGGGTACTATTAGAGGGTGGTCACTATTAGAGGGTGGCTACTATTCCTCTCCTAGCAAACATGTCCATGTCAAATTTTCTGGCACGCAACTCTGTTAGCGTTTTTCACAGCAAATTCCACTACTTTTAACTTGAAACTGGCATCAAAGCTAAGCTTTTTTTTCTTGATCGGCCATTTTGATTTGACAATGACACATAATAACGACAATTAATTAAATTCTAATTAACTGCGGCTTCTATTAGAGGCCGGCTAATAATACAATAGCTACAAGGGCAGAGGGACTACTATTTGGATGTGGCTACTATAAGGGCAGCTTCTATTTGAGGAAATACAGTACTATAATACATTCTATTACATTGTACTTTATATTATGCAGTACATGCATAGTCTTACATTCACTGTTGATGTCCTCTCCCTATCTATAGTTGTGCCAACTGGGGAGTACACCACATCAGGTACTAGGAGTGCTATGGAGAGTAAGGACTCCAATGCCACTATAACAAGGGCAACTAGAAATAGCTTTGAATCACTTGGTGCCTATGAGGAGAAAAAACTGTGAGAGCACTACAAAAATAAATAATAACAATTTTACTTTCTTTTTCATGGAAGGTGAGCGAAAAATATAGTGAACCCTCCACGTCTTTACTAACGCAACTGTGAAAGCAACAAAGTGGCCAAGAGTTGAACAAATTCGTCTTATCTATAACATAAGTAGTATTAAATAATAATTTATTATCAAAGAATGATTGGGTCAGCTTACTGTGCATATAACTCTAAGAGCTGGCTTGCTTTGAAGTGGAAGATAATAAAATGTTAGTCCTACCATCATCACTGTCACACCGGTAATAATAATATAATTGAGATTAGGACTATTTAGCTTGACAATCCTGAGTATATGCAAGAATAATATATTCTCCGTATTAATATCATTATGTCTCACTTTCTGTTTCTGAACAAAATATTAAAAAGGAGGCAGATGATTAGCATACTAAATCCTATTACTTGCATTGTAATTATTATTACAGTGATGCCGATGTGAACTGTATTGACTATTTTTATTGGCGTACCATCAGGTGGTATCCCATCTTCAATTAAAAAAGGGAATTTTCATGACGATAACTTTGTCAATAAATTACCTGGGAAGACATCAGTAGCGGTCGTGTTGTTCATGTACTTGAAAATTGACTGTCTTATGTCATAATACGCAACATTTGTTTGCATTAGATCATTGCCTGGAATGTACATTTTAAAAATCGAACAATATGATATTTCCTCTCACTTGAGTCTCTTCTATATTGAACTATGAGCACGGTAGAATTGTCTTCTTTACTCTTAAAATCAACTTTGCCCTAGAAGTGATGGTAGTCAGAAATCAGACAATTAGTGGCCACCCAGCCGCAAATGAGTACATTAATGCAGACAAAGCTAATGAAGCATGAATTAATAAGCAACCAAGACACAACAATTACCATGTACATGTCCATACAGGCTGAACTCTCCCTCCTGTACAAACACGTAAATATTACCAAACATGTAATGCACAAACATGTAATGCACAAACATGTAATGTAGAAACATGTAATGGCCTGGTTTGTTTTGGCATCATCAAATCAAATTAGCTGGCCCACTTCAAACAGAGCAGTGGCCCAGTGTATGCATAAGGCTACCAGTACATATATAGTTTACACTGGATGTTACATGCATGTCAACTATTAAACTTACAGTTAAGCCGTTAAATTCAAGATCCTTTAGTACTTGTGGCAGCTCCTGTATCAAGGCAGAGCCTTCGTCTATTATTGATTTATTAGCTTCTATTGTTCTGTTAACTGCTAGCGCTAATGCATGGACTCCATCAAAGACATAAGATTCAATTGAGTGATCATCTGAAACTGATCGAATACTTGAAATGCTAAAAGATCTATGAAGGACCCTCTTAAGCTGACTGGTGCTACAATCAGTGGGAGTGATATCCCACCAGGAAGGAGGGTACCAGCCTAGCGTTATCCACATGTAGTTAGGATAATAAAGACCTTTCTTATATGCCTGTGTAAAAAAATAATATTTTCTTCAAAAATACTCATTAGTTTACTTGGCAGAGAATGAGTAAAGATATCTTGGGGTCACAGTTTAAAAAGAAAATATGTGACTGACTTTCCTAAAAATGATTCATCAATGTATTTTAATTGAATATCCATTTACTAACAAGAAATTTGTCAATTCCAGGTAGATCAGATCCAAGTGGATAACTGAAGATGCTATGCTGAGAAATATCAATGTCACTGGACTGAAATACTTCATCTAATATCTGATGCAGCTACATAGAATATAAATTTCATATACATGCACTTATCAGCAACAAATGAAATAATTAGATAAATTAATTTTACTATGAGTAACTAGAGTAATACATGTAGATTAAATAATAATGACTAATTGGTAACGATATAAGGATGTAATGTCTCTTTTAACCTTATTGTACTGTGATACTGTTTGGGTAGCCAAAGCAACTTGGCTCCATCCAAATTCTTTGAAGATTCTTGCAAGTGCTGGAGGAATGAGTGAATCTGATGGTCTTAAAGTGAAGAGTAAAGGGAAAGAATCATTGAGGGATGGAGATGTTGAATAATATGAAATCTAGCAAGAGAGAAAGAGAGGAGAGAGAGAGAAAATCAATAACACTTAGTAAAACATGATTACAATGTACATGTACATGTGGATTAGGGTATCCTAAACCACAGGGACAGGTGTGTGTAGGGGTATTGGTACAAGAAGATGAAAACACTGTCGACCTACAGTGGTAATACAAGAAACATGAGCAAGGTATTCATGTTCATTAAATCAACCTTAGCATTCCTTTGCCATCCTCCACTTACAGAAACACTTTTTATATACTTATTTGTTTAAACTGAAACCTGTTATGCTCTCTTGATAATTATCAACAGAAAGAAAATGTTATAAACAAAACATGTTGTTAATGACACAACATATGAATGCAATGATGACAGGCAGGTCCTTGATCTGCTTTTATTGTGAATTATAAAATAAGCTCTATGCCTATGGATATTCATTTTGTACATAAACTTCTTAATATACAGCTACTGTGCTTTTCACTCCACTTGGATCATTGCGTGTTTCGTAAAATCTCCCCTCCATACTATGTAGACGTATTATACAGTTTACGGAGCACGCAAATGTGATCCAAAAGGGGTGAAAGTGCAGTATTGCACAGAATTAGCAAACTGGTGGGCTGTTTGTTTAATGTCACCACACAATACAAGACCCACCTTAATTTAGACAGTCCCCTATAGATAGATTTACAGTCTGTGCAATTTGTTGTGCTACAACAAAGATTGCACAAATACAAATATCAATAGCTACTATACTTGTACTTGTAAATGATATTATGAAGTCATACTTATGCTTACTATTGGAATTTTAGTGACATTAGCAATATGCCCTGTAACCAGTGAACATCCTCCTCCTAGTAGAGCAACAGTAGGAGGACTTGTTTGAGGTAAACTTGCAACCACCTGCTCAGCTTCTGATAAATTGTAACACTTTAAGAGAAACAGGTGTAGGTTACACAATAAAAGGAAAAAATCAGAGACTAAGTTTTAATGATAGTTTATTTCTTACATCGGTCAGAATTGTGCTGTGCATTAAGCTGACTCCGTCAGAGAGTAAATTATCATTTACAAATCCCACAGCATCATCGACTGCACTCAGCACTGTCCTGGTGTTATTGAGATCAGGCCTGTTGCTCGCCATAACTGCAAAGCGAACCAGATTAGCACTGTTGACATTGTAAGGAATACATAAAAAGGACAGGAGGAGTAAAAGATGAAGAGTTTGAAGACTGCTTGATCTCATCTTGACAGACAACAAGTCTAGATCTATCACACTCTAAAAATTAATTTCGATTTTATAATTAATTTTATCATTAACTATTAAAATAGGTAATAAACCATAATTTTAATGATGTAGCCTATACAATATTTATTTTGCCAAAATTTATCTTTTTATAAATAAAATAATCCGAAGACAGCAAAAAACACCATTTTCATTAGGATCAAAATTATAACAAAACAACATTCACAAGAAATAACAACAATAATAATAATAGTAACAATATTTTACTCTATAAACAATCAATGTAGCTAGTATAAAGTTTACAAATCATTATCATCATCATCATCATCATTCATAAATCCAGTGGATACATCAGGCTAGAGTAGGAAAATGAAGGGAAGAGAGAGGAGAGAGAGAGAGAGAGAGAGAGAGAGAGAGAGGAGAGAGAGAGAAAGTCAAAAAATAGTAAAGTGTCAGTACATAAGAAACAAAAAATATAAAACAAACCTTTTTCCACTTGAGCTCCTCCTTCACTCTCTCCACACATCTTTCCATGTATAAATACTGTTGATTAAACACAAGTACATAAAATGCAGCACAATGAGGAAAAGGAGCTTACGTAAGGAGAGTAGACTCTGATCCAGCGTGGCTCTTTACCCTCTCTTGTATATTGGAAAGTGAATGCTTGCTCTTCGACATCTGCTTCAAACTTGTTCACCATGTCCCACGAAAAGAAATGCTCTTGTTTCTACAGGAAAAACAATCATAATTATGTAAGTATAGTATACAGATGTCTGCATGGCATAATATTATTTTTGTTGATAATTTGTTGGTGAGAACACCAAAAAGTGGAAACAGTGCTGAAACACGTGTTAAACGACCAATTAAAGTGTTCAACAATCTATTGGATGATGTTGTAACACAGCCAATGTGCCAACTAAATAAATCTAACAATTTTTATTACATTTTCTGATGCATATTGATGCCCTTATGCTACATGTGTGTGGAAAGTTTGAGCCAATTCCGACTTCAATTTTTTGAGTTACGAGCATTTTATAAAATACACCAATTTCTGAAAAATACCCTGTACTACCATACTCGCCCCAATTAAGTTAACACACCCAAATTATTGGACCTCTACATTGCTTCTACAATAAAAACTTTCTATTGAGTGCACCTCCTGGTCAAGATAATTATTTTTGATAAGTGCATTGTGATTAGAAAGTCCCCTTGTTTGCAGGTGTATTGCACACTTTGCTCTCCAACATGAACCGTGTAGTTACCAGTGAATAAAGCAATCCAAACCCGCCTAATTCTGACAGATTAGGAGTTATAGACTCAACACTTAACGGGCTATGGTCAACTACACACAATAGCTGGTGGCAATACGCCATTGTAAACAGTCTCAGACTGATGATGACAAGCCACCCGAGGATTAGTCTCGCTAGCCAGACCATTTTCCAGCCTACAGTCATTGGTATGGACCCCTACTGTCCACCCCAATGACTGTAGGCTAGGGAATGGTCTGGCTTGCGAGCCTACTACCTTGAAGCTTGAGTGCTCTGTTGAATTGCTTATCACTGGCTTCCATAGTATCACTTGAGCTTATACATGTACATGTATATTATTTTTTAATTGATTATTATAAAAGTTATTTAAAAATTAACAGCTAGTGCCTGTATCAAAGATAAAAGGCTTATACAGTTACGTGTGGTTAGATACATGTACATGCAACTGTATCACATATACAGCACCTGTGGTAACTTTGATCCGCCCACTCAAGATGATATATTTATTTATCAAGAGGTACGTTACAGTATATAGCCCATGCTTTTTTCCAAAAAATGGCTCCAAAATCACACCAATTTTTATTACATTCTCTGATACATATTGATGTACTTATGTTATGTAGAGGTTTGGCAGGGTGTCATACAGGGGGGGGGGTGGGAAAGGGGAGAAATCCCTTCCTACTCTAAGTCTCCCCCCTAAAATAGTCTGAGTAACTTTAATAAATGAGTTCATACTTGCTATGTTTCACTGTTGCTCATTACACAATTGAAATAAACTAGCAATCATGTGTATAATAGTTTACACATCCACAGGCTAAACTGACTTTTGGTTGATCAGTGCAATAATGGCAACATGAAATCCCCAATAATATGCGATGTTACCTTTAATTTTCGTTGTGTCCCCCCCCTAAAAAATCCTGTATGAATCCCTGTTTGGGTTGATTCTAAGCACACAGTTCCATTATTTTAACTACTAAAAGCTATTGCATAATGCATTATTGATACTCACATCTTCCTTCACTCCTTCGTCAGAGCAGGCCTTCAGACCTATGCCACCAGAGCCGACCGACATGATCACATGACCAGTTTTACGAGCGTCACACTTGCAATGAGGAAACAACACATTATTGTAACTAGATATCTTCCGTAGAGATTCTAAAAACTATAAGAAAGGACAAAAATAAAAAGTGAAGTGCTACATTCATATGTACAGGGAACTATGTAAATAAGTGTACAAACACTGAAAAAGATTTAATTATCCAACATCAAGAGTGAATAATAATTATCTACTCTTGATAACACTAATATAAATGGAGAGTCTATATCTACAGCAGGGTTTCCCACAGGATTTTGGCATACTTCGCAGGTTCATGTCAGTACTCATAATACTATAATGCATGTACATGTATTTTAGTTTTAGGCCAAATTTTACCAAAATTGAAAAGGAGAGAATTCTCCATTTTAATAATTTTTTCTGATGCATATACATGATCTTAAGTTGTGTAGCAAGTTTGGGCTGATTCTGATCAAAATTGAATTTTTTACGAATTTTTAAAGTTGCTCCAAAATCGGGCCGAAGACCCTGTACTATAGTACAGGGACTTTGGCCGAATTTCGTCAAAATTGATTAGGAAAGAATTCTCCATTTTAATAATTTTTTCTGATACATATACATGCTCTTATGTTGTGTAGCAAGTTTGAGCTGACTCCGATCAAAATTAGATTTTTTACAAATTTTTGAAGTTGCGAAAAGCCATGTACTGTATTGTAGTGCTTGTCAGCTCATGAAGCTAATGCTGTTTAAGCTCACTTAGCATGCTTTGTGGGAAACCCTGATGTACAGTCTACACATAAAAAACTTCCATTTAAGCTCATACTTTTTTCTTCTTCCCTTGCGCTTTGAGCATCCTCAAATTAGCATCATCAGATCCAACGTCAATCAACCCAGAGCCCATGTCACTCACTGCCTGCTGGTAGAGCAAGTCACAGACCGAGTCGTCTCCTTCTAGCTCTGCCTCAAAGGCACTGAAGAACAACCACTTCCTAAGATAGAAACTAGTCTCTGATGTAGTGAGGTCATCCTTGATTTGTAGATAGACTTGATAAGGTTGCTCAGAGTCAGCTAGTTTCATCACTGCCAGTGTGGATGGGGTGAGAATGGAGAGAGAAGACATTATGTATTACTTACTAATGAGTAATAATTATCATCATTGAATGTAAATAGAAATGCATTAGAAATAAATTATTTAAACTGTAAATGAACTACTGTATAGTGGGAAACTTTGGAGGGAATTAAATTTGGTGAATTCGGCATTTTGATAGCCATTCACCAAAATAAAATCCGCCATTTTGAGCCATTATACGCATGCTCAATGGCACGTGGCCACTAATTCACCAAATTAAAATTCGCCAATCACCAAATTTTAGCAATTCATCAAATTCAACTCCCTCCAAAATTTCCCGCTATACGGTACATGTCCACATGTAATACATGTACTTATACATTTGTATCTTTACACTATTAGCTGTATACACTATAGCTTGTATGTACGTGTATTTATACTGACATGTATACAATACAATACAATACAAGGTTTGTACAGAAAACTCACTAAATTTGTCTTGTTTACATGTAAAAAGGCCAAAATATTTCCTCCATTTTCTATCAATACCTAAATCTTTCATAACAACCTATAAATAACAAATGAATAAATAAAATAAAAATAAATAAATAAATAAATAAAATAAAATAAATAAATAAAATGAAATAAATAAATAAATAAGTGCTTACATCAAGCAGGTCGGGTGTGCGTGAGTTTTCAGGTATGGAATAAGTTTTTTGAGCATCGTTAGGTAGTTGAACAGTCACTTTGACAGTGTCAGGAGGAAGTGGGTTTGCTTTCTTTAGAGAGGGAGAGGGCTCAGTGGCTGGTGTAGAGTCTTGAAGGCACAGGAAATCCTGCATGAGGTCACTCTCGTATATAACCTTAGCAGAGCAGACTAGAGGAGAGAGAGGAATAATGGTGACAATCGATAAATATTTCATTATTTGAATGACAAAGATTAATCATCTAATATTATATTAATATTTAATATTATTATCTCTATAATTCTAATAGTATAACCTTAGTAGAGCAGGCTAGAGGAGAAAGGAATGATGACAACAATTGATAAATATCTTATCATCAAAGAAGAACCATCTATTATAGATTGTGTATAGAGTACATTAGGAAGGCATTGCTATACAACAGTAACAGCATGTAACTACATGCACTATAAATGATATGTGGCACAGGTTATAACAATCTTCAGTATTAATAGGAGCTACATGTACTAATATACACAGATCAAATTGCCATCACTCTTTATTATCACTCTTTATAATAATTCTGCAAGACGCAAAATCAACACATGTGACTATAGCATGCTTTCATAACTAATATACACTAGTAGATTTGCTAATGTAGCAAACTAAAAACAATAATTGAAATGGGCTCAGTGATTTTTGCATCTCCAAACATTCTTGACTTGTCATTATCCAAACATTGCGATTCACTAGAATCACAGGTTAATAATAAACTTAAAACAAGGGCATTGTCATATAAGCTTGACATAGCATAAACAATACGAATCAATCAATCTTTAATCAATAAATAATACAGTACACCATGATTTCTTGTATTCAACCTCAGTAAAGGAAATAGCATTAACAAATTTACCTTTATCCAGGAAATCCTCCAGGCCTCTTCGTCTGCCATCAATCTGAACATCATTAAGTGCAAAAGGCCATTTCCCGGGTAATTTTGGAAAGATAAAGTCTGAGAATTGTCTCTTTAGCTAAAAAAATGCAAAAGGAAGTCTCAAACTCTGACTGGGTGGACCAAACTCACATTGTTATTGAGAGCATCAAATTCTCTGTACCTGTGTGATGTCACCTTTTTACCGGCCATGTGTATATTATAAACCTAATAAAAATAATAATTATTATTGTTACATTATTTTAGAGTATGCATGTACATGTACACATTACAATAACAGGCTATTAACCTTAGGAATTGTGTACATGTATAAACTCCCTCTTCCTTCTTTCTTTTTTCTCACCCCTCCCTCCCTCTCCCCCTCCCTCGCCCTCTCTCCCTCCCTCCCTCTCCCCCTCCCTCGCCCTCTCTCCCTCCCCTCTCTCCCTCCCCCTCTCTCCCTCTCCCTCCCTCTCTCTCCCTCCCTCCCTCTCCCCCTCCCTCCTCCTCTCTCTCCCTCCCTCCCTCTCTCTCTTGCCTCTCCCTCTCCCTCCCTTTTCCCTCATTATACTGACCACATATTCTTTTCCATTCTCAACCAGCTTCTCAGTATCAGGAACAGAGACAGGTACAGACCTTCTCTCGTAATACTCCACCCCTGGACCATTATTGGACGTATCAGGCTCCAGTCTCCTTGCCTCTTCCTCTGAGACTGATATGATTGTCATTTGAACCTTCTTCCCGCTCTGTCTGATCAGCTGTACCACTGTTGCGTGATCGGCACCTTCAACCGCTTGACCGTTGCTATGTAATAAATTAAATACCATAAATGTGGAATGTTTCAAAGTGACTTTACTAAGAAAAATAAAATTAAATACCAGTTGATTATTTATAATAATTTCAGTAGCACACGCATAAATCGTAAAATTAAAACAGGTAAAAGTTTAAAATTATAATAATAAAGGCAGTGAAATATTCCACTTCTGTGGTAAAAATGGATTGATTTATAACGACGAAGACAACCATGTATGGTACTTCACTTCATAAGGATTAACACATTGCGATTCACATACTTACAAGATTATTAGCTCTCAAAAAGGACAGGCCCTAATTCAAAGCTGTTATAAAATAATTTTTATCAAAACAATAAAAGGTTTTTAAATACCACACTATCCCACATAAGGCAATTTTAATAAAAAGCGTGCACGATTTGACCTTTTGATGCATGCTTTCAGCGAGAATAGAACCAAATCTTATATCAGCGTCAACATAATGTCAAGCCAATCATAATATTGTAAATCCGTCTTAACTCCCACAGTCCCTTCCTTACACATCAATTATCCTGTCTCCAACCTTCAGCCCTGCCTTCTCGGCTGGCCCGTCCTTCATGATGGCGCTAATGTACTGCATTGGAGCATAAAGCTGGCCTCCTATGGACTTTAGCTGTCCTCCCTCGGCTACCTGTCCGCGTACGTTAAATCCAAAACCATGCTCCGTCTTCATGACAGTCACAACCTTGGGAGCTCTCTCCTCTTCTTCGACTCTATAGTCGGTCCTACCAGCCTCTGCTTCATCGCTAGCTGCCATTTGCGTTCTCCTATCTTTATCTTATCCTCCAATTTCTTTTCCTCGCCTAGCCAGACACGCCCACGTTTTCTATTTAAAGTGCACCTTAACTTCAAGCATGGTAGGTTAATTAATGATGAAAACTGTTTCATAGTTGTTATAATTTTCCTTTTTATAGCCTCAGAACGAGCATATTGAATTAGCCAGAAAGAGGCATGGCTACAGACTCGATCATCATGAAAGAAAGTAATTATACTAGATGTATATTATAATTAAAAATTAATTATTCATAAATCATTGTTGTAATAATTTAAACTGTAGTACTTTAGCTAATTTTTTGTATTTGCAATTTTAGGAGAAAGAAGCAAGGTCGTGAACCTCATGCTCATTCAAAATACGTTAAAAGACTCCATGGACTGAAGTAATAATAATAATAATAGTAATAATAATAATAATAATAATGATAATAATAATAATAATAATAATAATATCCCATGCATGGTGGGATACATGTACATGTACTACATGTACTGTACATGTAATTGCAATGTTTAAATGACCAATATTTCATTTTTTTTCTATAGAGCAAAATTATACAATAAAAAGAGGTTTGCAGAAAAGGTGGCAATGAAACGCAAGTAAGCTTACAATACAATTAATTTTTGTTGCTTTATTTTATTTCTAAAGTTATTTTATTTCAAGCATGGACTATATGCTATAGCCCATGCTTTTTTTCTGAAAATTGGCTCTGGAATGACCCCAATTTTTATTACATTTTAGATCCATATTGATGCCCTTATGCTATGTAGAAAGTTTGAGCCAATTCTGAGCACAAATTCTGTGTTTCTAAAAATATGTCATTTTCTGAAAAATGCCCTGTACTATAGCCCATGCTTTTTCTCTGAAAAGTGGCTCCAGAATGACCCCCAATTTTCAATACATTTTCTGATACATATCGATGCCCTTATTATGCTACCTAGAAAGTTTGAGCCAATTCCAAGCACAAATTCTTGAGATATGAGTGTCTTCTTATCATTTTAGGATTAAATTACATGAGAAGAGAGAGACCAAGAACAAGAAGGAGGAAGACACACCAAAGGGAGCTGTCCCTGCCTACCTCCTTGACAGGTACAATCTGAAGCTAACTTTTACTGCTTTTACTTCACTACAGAGAAGGACAATCCCGTGCTAAAGTCCTCAGCAATACAATCAAACAGAAAAGAAAGGAAAAAGCTGTAATTCATGAGTACTAGTGGACATTATCAATAACTAATATTGCTCTTGTTAGGGTAAATGGACTGTTCCATTGCCTAAAGTCAAAGCAGTCGGGGAAGACGAAGTATTTAAAGTCCTTCGAACTGGAAAGAGGAAAAGTAACAGCAGAGCTCCATGATACAAAGTGCCATCATTTCTGAATATTGTAGAGAAAGCATGGAAGAGGATGATAACAAAAGTGACATACGTAGGCGAAGGATTTACTCGTAAACCACCGAAATATGAGCGCTTCATTAGACCAATGGTATTGATATCATTAGCATACTGTGTTATGCACTGCATCATTGGTTATTATTATTATAGGCTCTTCGGTTCAAGAAAGCTCATGTAACCCATCCAGAGGTGAAACTGTGTTGTTTTTTTATTGTTTTTATTATACAAACTGAATCTATAGTTAAAGGCAACTTTTAGTCTGCCGATCATAGGAGTTAAAAAGAACCCTCAGACAGCACTGTATACACAACTGGGAGTCATCACTAAAGGGACTATCATTGAGGTAAATTGACTAAGTTCTCAGTATAGTAAGATCTATAATACCCATGTATTAATATTAGGTGAATGTTAGTGATCTAGGTCTAGTGACACAGAGTGGTAAAGTCATTTGGGGTATGTTTGTATAATATGTACAAAGTAACATTATTGTGAATTTTTTTCTTCATATTTTGTATGTGTGTAGGTAAATATGCACAAGTTACTAATAATCCAGAGAATGATGGCTGCATTAATGCAGTTTTACTTGTATAAAGACACCCTCCAATCTCACTATATTATTATTATCATTCATTATTTGTTTTATAAAACCGGCCCGTTGTGTGGGGCTTATAATAATTTATTAAAAAATCACTGAGACACATAACAGCAAATAGAACACGGATATTTAAGATTATAATAATATTGAGGATTTTAGTAGTTGGAGATGAAAAGAAGCAACAGAACACACTCACACTGATGCAGTGCTAGAGAAATCCTAAATCAGCATCGTATGAGCCAGGCTCTATAGACACCGTTAACCCAGGACTACAAATTATAATGTTATAAAAACTATGTACAATGATATGGCTATGAGCTTCTACCTTGCAGATTGGAGGATATTAGCAACTTCTTCTTTAACACTGGAGGTCTGTTGTAGGGACAATGATTTTAATGATTGATTGGTGTAGTATAACATACTTGGACTTGTCCAATCATTTCTTCAAAAGACGGAATGAGGTCAGTTTTATTAGTAGTACTAGGAGGAGTCTCAGAAGATGGATCTACAGATACATAAAACACACTCAATAGATATAATATTAGAACTTAAAGAAGAGCAGCAAAATACCACCACTATGTTAGTCATTAAGCTGTGAGTCTTAAGGTTTTTAATAATTCAATTACATATTCACCTAGTGATTCTTCCTTTAAGTCTTCAAAAGTAATAACAGTCCCTGATTCCTGTAATGATTGTCACAATTATATAGGCTTATGATATCTCATTTTTTATGCATAATGAACTCTTTCTTATATATTATGTACCTGTTCTTGGCTGTGGTCTAATGAGTAGGAGCGAAATGAGCGAGAATGATCACCAGCAAATGCACTGTAATCCCCACCCCGTAATGTACCTACATGTAGTACAAATGGAGATGCATGATTTTACTTGCATATATGTATCTCTGCATGCATACAAATACCTCATCATAATCATCACATACAATCATGAATGCAACTATTAGTGACTTCAATTTTAAAGCAAAATTATGAAAGAGGCCAAGGGTTAGATCCAGCACTCTGATATGATTATAATTGGGCTCACTTGAGTTTCTTGCTAATTCATTAGGATGAGAAACAAATCCTTTCTCTATTAGATTAAAATAAGGAGGAGAGTCATCTTTCTTCTTATCTTCATCATCATCATCATCATCATCAGCTAACTGGAATCCAGCCTCTGAACTCTCAGCCCCTTCCTCTCCCAGGGCCACTTCTGGCAGAAGATGCTTATAAGATTTCCTCCTCAACTCAATGACCTTTCCAATATAACTCTTTAAATTCTCGTCTTCGCTGATAATGGATACAATATGGAGACAGCCAGCAATACAAGCATGTATAGCATTAATGTGCTTAATAGCTAGCTCTGTTTGACTTGAAGTTGCCAAGTCCTCAAGTTCGACTATCAATATTAAGATCTCTTTTATTCCAGTAGGAGTGAGCTCGAGCGTGAAGAGTAAGAGAAGAGTGTAAAATGCTTTGACGTGTTCCTCTGTACTTGCAAAGAGCCCGTGAGCTAGTTCTAGTAATTTAGGGAAGACTACTTTACGTGCCGAGTGCCTAAACCTTAATGGGGCATTACCCAGTACTAAACCATGTTCACCAATAGACGTCCACTTCCTAAGTAAATAATAATAATAATAATAATAATAATAATAATAATAATAATAATAATAATAATAATAATAATAATAATAATAATAATAATATCAATAATACACTAATTAGTTTGTATTAAAATTGTGTTTACTTTCTTTGCTTTGTTCTTAATAATAATAATAATAATAATAATAATAATGATAATGCTTCAAATTATAAATAGTACAAATGTTTTTTAAAGGGCCAAGTCTTTACTGGAACATTTTAGGCAAAATATAAAGAGCCATAATACATTTGTAATACAACCAATAGCCAAATGCAAGGCTCTATTATTCCTACAAGTAAACATACGTGTCAAAAGGGACTTTGGTCTTGTTCTCATTGTGGTCTATCATTTTATGCCAGAGGTGCATCACGTTGAGTTGTATGTCTGCTCTCTCTATACCAAACAGCTGAGAGAGGGAGACCAATAGACTCTCAGGGAGTGTGGACTCGAGGACAGTTGGATGAGAAGAATCAGCCACAACACAGAGACACTGGACAAGGAGCGAAATCAACTTCACTTCTCTACATAAGATAAAGTATATGAGGTACTATACTAATATAAGGTATATATATATATATATATATATATATATATATATACATATTATATACATGTATAATCTAATATAAGGTATATCAATACTGCATACTGTATAGTGCTTTAATTTTGGTGAAGTTTTATTATGGCAATTGGCGGTTTGCAAGCGGAATCACCAATATTAAAACCGCCAATCATTAATGCGCATGCTCAGTAATGCACGTGTACACAAAAATTACCAAATTAAAAACCACCAATTATAATTTTACAGCAAAATCACCAAAATAAAGCGCTATACGGTATATGCATGTAATCAATATAAGGTATTTTAATTAATATAAGGTATCTTAATTAATATGGCATAGCTAGTAATTTTGGAGGGGGGAATTTTTATTTCCCGAACTCACTTCTCATTGCATGCTCTCAGTGCTCTAATGTTCCCATCTCCTTCCAGTGGCATATAAGAGAATATGAGGTTGAGTATATCAGGATTGTGATAGTCTGGCAGGACTGATGCAAACTCTCCTACTATACGCACTGTAGTCTCATAGAATATCTTCTCCTTTTAAGGAGAAAAATGTAGTAATGATTGTGCTATTTTTAGCACGGGATTCTATTTATAGAGTGACTCACTTGATCTTGTACGCTAGTTGATTCTTCGATAGATTTACGCAAGTGCTTGACAAGGGTTCTGAAAACATCAAGAACAGAGGGTCCTATACACAATAATAATGATAATAATAATAATAATAATAATAATAATAATAATAATAATAATAATAATAATAATAATATAGTTTTTTTTGGTTTTTTTGTCTGGATAATATTAATAATAATAATAATAATAATAATAATAATAATAATAATAATAATAATAAATAATAATACCAATAGATCCATCAGTGGCTACTCCAACACAAGATGATAGTACGTTCAATATTCCGTTCTTCAGTTGATATTCAGTGCTTGTTTTACTGTCCAAGTGAGCCAGGAGGCACTGTATCGCTAGATAACGGACCTGTGGTTGCATTGTTTGTATTATCAATACAAACGTATCAGTTGCAAACTGGCTCTTATTAATCCAAACAGAATTAAGATCGAAATGACTAAAAATAAACAAAAAAAGACCATTTTGGGTGTAGAGTATACACATGAATGAATAGAAGTGCTACAATAAGCAGAATAACAGTACAAATATAATAATGAATAAATTCCCATGTAGTCTAGCAGAATATACCGTATAGCGGGAAATTTTGGAGGGAATTAAATTTGGCGAAATTGGCATTTTGATAGCCATTCGCCAAAATTAAATCCGCCATTTTGAGCCATTATACGCATGCTCAATGCACGTGGCCACCAATTCGCCAAATTAAAATCCGCCAATCACCAAAATTTAGCAATTCGCCAAATTTTAGTCCCTCCAAAATTTCCCGCTATACGGTAGTACAAATAATAATAAATGAATTCCCCATAGTCTTACCAGAGCACTGGGTGCAGTATTGCATTAGCATGAGTGAGTGAAGCTACGGTTACTATTTCCTTAAGTCCTGCCTCTCCTGTTTCTGCCAATATCCCACAATTGGCATCACTCTCAGCCTCCTCCTCTCTACAACAGTAAATATAATACAAGCATACATATACACACGTAACGTAATATACATTTACATGTACATATATTCATGCAGTGATTTTATAATTGTAATTTGTAATTACTACATGTATGATTGCTTTTTTATGGGCAATGGTAACTGTACATGTAATTGTAATTGAAAATATTCGTGCTGATGTACTTGGTAATTGTAATTTAAATTTTGTAATTGTTATTGAAAAGCCAATTACAACAACAGAGGTACATGTACATATACATGTACATAATCATGCTTACAGGCTTCTGGTAGGAGTATGGGCCTCCATGTTAATGAGATAGGCTGGTATAATCTTGTTTAGATGGTCAGAGTCCCAGAGGTTGTTACCCTCTGGTCCTATCTTCTGTACTACAGCTCTGAGGGCTCTCAAACCACACAGTCTCGAACTATAGAAATAGAATCAATAATAATATTAATCATAATAATAATAACAATAATAATAATAATAATAATAATAATAATAATAATAATGGAGATGCATATGTGAATGCAAATAAAGCGCATAAACTCAAGAGTTCAAAAATCATTTTTATTGCATTCTCTGATGTACATGTATACGTAGTACAATTGTGTGATGCGTGATAATGTCTTTATGCTATAAAGGAAGTTAAGGCCAACACATTGGCCAATTTGGTAATATGGTATTGGTATAACCAAGTCATTATTTGTCTATAGACTACATCATCATGTCTGTCAATCATGATTATGACTAATGTATAATACACATTATGACTAATAGTATCTATTGTGCTATAATATCAATGGTGTGACTAGTATCCATTGTACTGTTAGGACATTGATATCATCATCTTACTCTTTATAAATGGTTTCATCTTCCTCTCTCTTCAATAAACTCATGGCGGCAAACCTCTCGATACAGAAGTCATACTGACGATGATATGGCGGACTCTCTTCAGCTCTTTCGGCATACGCTACAAACTACAGGAAAAAGAAGGGGACCCAAAAAACAAATAAATATACATAAAATAATAAATAAATAAAATACATTATAAAAACTGTTAATAATGCTATGTCTTCCCAGCGAAGACTAATATGGAATTTACTGACCAGCAAAAATAACTAAAAAATAAAATAATAACAGAGCCACCTACATTGGGTACACATTGAAAAGCTGCATTAAAAAATAAAATCAGCATAATTTAAACAGGATGACTCATACATCATGTTATTTTTAAAAGCTGCAAAACATTAATAGCAAACATGTAATGCCAATTCAACAAAAGGAAAACTTGTGGCGATATACATGTATATGTACATGTACGTCACAATCTAGTTATGATTACTGTATACAATAATAACAATTATTGATAATAGCATCCCTTACTGAATTGGCCGCTAAGTTTTGGAAAAAGTGTCTATTCGACGTTAATAGTTCGTGTATCATGTTAAGATAGCTCTCTGCCAATAATCTCAGATGCTCCAGTCTAACTTCCAAGAGTAACTTATCCATTATCTTCAGCGAAACACACACATGACTACAAATAATAAATTATTATAATAATTATCTAATATGGCTATAACTCCCAAGGGATGTTTTGAAATGTGGTGCTAAAATCATTTTTACAGGTACTAAAATAGCTAAAGTGTGTGTATACAAGGTATATACATATACATTACCCTCTTCTGTCCCTAGAAAGGGCTCGTCTCAATTTTTGTGTCAAATATTCTCCAACATCGTCCAAGCTCTGTGGGTCGGATTTAGCCAGGTAGAGGAGCTTGTCCAGGTCTTGGGTAAGCGGGTCTTCATTCTGGACGTCTTCTGGATAAAGACCGTCCACCAGTCGCTTATAACGAGGCTTATGGCAGCAGACACCACAGCAACCTGTAGACATTTTGGATCAAAGCAAATGTGGGTGCGGTTGAACACGCCTACCATACCGTTAGGTTATTTGGCGGGGCGGGGCTGGTGCGGTTCTTTTATTTACGCCTCAAAAACATGCCTCAACAGAAATGAAGCTTTGCGATTGAATATAAACAGCTCTTATTATAATAAAAAACGGAAAGAAATGAAGCAGAAACTCTCTCTACTTTTACTGGTATACTTGGCCTTGTTTGCTGGAGAAGGAAACGCAAAAGGCGATGATGATGATGATGATGATGATCAGGATCGCTACACCAACAGTTGGGTAGTTGAACTGGCCAGCGATCAAGGACACGACGCTGCCGAAGAGCTTGCCAAGACCCATGGATTTACAAATATGGGACAGGTATGAGAGATTTTGGACCATCATAATTTGTTACATGTAAATTTGAAGTGTTACTAAGTGTTTATTTCATGTTTTGAAGCTTGTAAGCTATGATTGTTGTTGAAAACATGCACTGCAAATTCTGTGTGATCGTGGATTGTTGCCAACAAATATTTCATATATTTTCACGTCACTACAGTGTGTATTAACTACAGTGTACATCAAATATGTGATAGCATACATTATGACAACTCAAAGTTCAGTAATCAGTACACATTAAGCTTAACCTCACTACTACTCATTATTACAGTCAGTGCATGCAACTGAGATCATCATCAGTATCATTTCATTGTGTCTGAAATTTCACTCTATAATTTTGTGTGATCAAATGTTTCACTGGAATTCAGAATCCCTTTTTTTCTTATTTTGATTGTTAGGTTGGTAATCTTGAAGGATACTATCACTTTATTGATCACGAATCAAGCACAAGAACCACACGCTCCCTTGACACAAAACACTTAAACTTGATGAACGACCAACAGGTTGGTGCTGGTAAATGAAGGTAGAAAGGGGGAAATTATATAAACTTTGATGATGACATAATGGGTCTTATTGGTTTTCCTTCCTATTTAGGAAGATCCCCACTCATGCATCACACATATGTCACTTTGTTTCTTGTTCCATTATAAATGCAGGTTGTTTCTGCTGAGCAGCAAGTGTCACAGAAAAGAGTGAAGAGGTCAATTGTTGTCCCTCATGACACTATGTGGTCCAGACAATGGTACCTGGTAAGAGAAGGGACAGCTGTCAGTTGTGGATTATGCTGTATATTTTTGTTGTGTCTTTAGAATAGAGAAAGCAAAAACATGAATGTTATGCCAGTCTGGGACCAAGGAATAACAGGGAAGGGAGTGGTGGTCACTATATTAGATGATGGTACACATTATTATATTAGTCTAGTGATTGTTTAATCTTGTCATTACTTTAACATGTAGTATGATGCACTCTATTGCTTCATTAGTACTTTCAATTTATTGAGATGTTTTTGAGTTATTGTACTTTCAAATTACTTTATACATGAATAATAAATTACTAATGTATAATTATGTACGTGTATGTAGTTAAGTTTCTCCTTGCATTACTTATTGTTATTATTGTTGTTATTTTTGTTTCTAGGTCTTGAGCACACTCACCCTGATCTGAAAGCCAATTACGTGAGTAGAGAGCTCTACATCATTTAATCACATGATCCCAATGATAATAATTATTATTATGGAGTTGTTTGATTGTATCCTATGCATTAATGTCAGTGTATGATTGTAGGTGTGTGTGGTATGCTTGTGCTAGTTGACTTTTGTTTGCAAACAATCTCTTTATGCCCAATTTACTATACATATAAATATCACATAATATAGTGTATATTGTATTTTATTGATGTTGAATACAGTACTGATAATTACAGTACAGGAGAGCATTTAAAATAACAACTTGTTTGGTTTTAAAAAATTATTAATAGTCTTTTATTTTATTTTTAGGATGCAGAAGCTAGTTATGATTTCAATGCCAACGACCACGATCCTTTCCCCCGTTATGATGTAACCAATGAGAACAGACATGGTACACGCTGTGCTGGCGAGGTTGCGGCCAGCTTGAACAACGTCTGTTCAGTGGGTGTGGCTTATCATGCCAAAATAGGAGGTATGTTTTACAAAATTAATGAAGGATGGTTTTTATAAGTTAGCTCTATTTTAAAGCTCAATATGCATAGTCTTGCTGTCTGGCCAACGAGACTACAATATGCATGTACATGTAAAATAATAAAAATAAGTTGCTTCAAAATTTTGGCTAAGGACCAAGGGCTACATTGTATTTTGGAAAAACATTAATTTTTTCTTTTTTCTTGTGTCTTTTAAAGTTCACTTTTTTTGACGCCATACTCATGCAGTTAAAGATTTTATTGCTGGTGAAAATGCATGTACATGTACATTCACAGAGTCCCTTTCTCTTTCTTTAATCTCTGCAGGTGTCCGTATGTTAGATGGTCAAGTCACTGATATAGTTGAAGCCAAGTCCCTTTCATTTGGCTATGAGCACATTGATATATACAGCAGTAGTTGGGGACCCAATGACGACGGGAAGACTGTCGACGGGCCAGCAAAACTAGCAAAGAAAGCTTTCCTGAATGGAATAGCTAAGGTAGTGCACTATAACAAATGATGCATGTACATGTACACAGGAAATCATACTTCATGTTCATGTAGTATTAATCAGATAAGCATTATAGTAGTACACTTTATATGCATAACTATTGATTAATCATACTGCACTGTACATGTACTTAGTGCATATGCATATGTACATATATTACATGTAATGCATGGAATATGGACATGGTTTTTAGCATGACCATTGCATGCATTAGTTAGCTTAGTGCATTAAGCTGACTATGAATAATTTATAAATACATGTACTGTGCATGCAAGAACAATGGCAGAGCATGGATGCAACAAAAGGCTTATAAACAATGTCTGTGTTATGACTGGAGCTGATGGCTTATTTATAAGCAGCCTATTGTCCTGGTACACATGTTAATGTAACCAGCAAATGTAACACAACATTATGACAGTAGAACAATCATTTCATTGTTTACTTAATTCCTATGACTACATGTATAAGATGTATGCCAAGACTCACTATGCATGCATGTACATGAACGCACTTTTACTTTCAGCAACGAATGTGACAAGTATAAACAATGATGATGATGATGATAAATAATATTTTGTGTCTTAGGGTCGTAATGGGAAAGGCTCGATATTTGTTTGGGCGTCAGGCAATGGAGGGTCATACTCTGATAGTTGTAATTGTGATGGGTACGTCCTGAGTCCGTTCACCATTGCCATTGGGTCAATCACAGAATATAATAATTTCCCCTGGTACGCCGAGAGATGTTCTTCAATAATGGCCATCACGTATAGCAGTGGGAGCTCTAATGAAAAGAAAATTGTAAGTTTTCTGTCAATTTTGCTAAGCAAGTGGAATGCAGTACATACATGTGTATATACTTGTACTGAGAATTTAATAAATCCTTGACTTCTGGCCCCTTTCACACTATACTATAAAGAGTATACTATACTATACTATACTATAAGAACCCTATACTATAAGAGTTTAAAGAGTATTTTTATTAATTTTGTTATTAAATATATGCACTTACTCTCTACCAGGCATCAGCATTGCAATATTAATACCAAGAGTCCATCTCTTGTTAATAATAATATCCTTGCTTCATAGATTAGTACTGATCTTCATGGACTGTGCACTGATAGTCACACTGGTACATCAGCTGCTGCCCCAATGGCTGCCGGAATGATAGCTCTAGCACTGGAAATAAGGTTTTACTAACTAACGAATGACATACAATGTATATACAATGATACATACATTTAAACTATTCATGAATAATTCTGTTTGATTTAATGATTTAATGATATGAATAAGGTTTCCAAATGCTTTGGAGGCCGCTACATGGAAACCATGCAAAAAATATGACAAATTAACCACTTACGTCTCCATGAATATGTTTAAAACAGATAAGGTGTTTATCCATTACTTTTGTATTCCCTTCTCTAGGCCTGACCTAACATGGAGAGATGTTCAGTACATTATTGTGTACTCTTCTAGCTCAGCGATTGATGATGATGAGTGGATAACTAATGGTGCTGGGTTGAGAGTCAGTTCTAAGTATGGCTATGGTCTACTAGATGGTGCTGCATTAGTTAATAGAGCAAGACATTGGGTGATGGTACCAGAGAGACAGAACTGCACTGTACATGTTAAACTGACAGAAGAACAGTGAGTTTATTGTAGCATTATTACTGTAGTAAACTATTAGATCTATATGTATGTAATACCATATAGTGGAAAATTTTGGAGGGAGTTGAATTTGGTGAATTGCTAAATTTTGGTGATTGGCGAATTTTAATTTTGCAAATTATTGGCCACGTGCCATTGAACATGAGTATAATGGCTCAAATGGTGGATTTTATTTTGGCAAATAGCTATCAAAATGCCGAATTTGCCAAATTTAATTTCCTCTAAAATTTTCGCTATACAGTAATAGACCTGTAAACTTGGAATTTTAAGTTCGCTTTTATTTTTGTATTTTTAGGCAATCTCAGTCTTCTGTTATTCAAATACCAATTGACATTACTAAGGAGTCCTGCCCTGGGGTACTTTATTTGGAGCACGTCCAAGCAATCACGAGTCTCTCAGTCAATAAAGGATTGCGTGGGAATATCGCCATATCTCTTCGCTCACCCTCCGGCACTCTCTCAAAACTATTACCGACACGTCATTTAGATCGTCACTCAACTGGCTTTGATCAATGGCCGTTCATGAGTGTAATGAACTGGGGTGAATCACCAATGGGTCGCTGGGTATACACTGTTACTACTGTAGCAAATGCAGAGTTTACCATGACCGATTTAACTTTAGTACTGTATGGGGTTGCTTCAAAACCAGTCGCTGTGAGGAATATACCTAAAAAGTGCTCACCGGAGTGTAAAAGTGGCTGCTCTAAGGCTGGTCCTCAATACTGTGACACTTGCTTGCACAAGCAAGTGCTCTCTACCCTAGAGTGCGTTCAAACCTGTCCTACAGGTACTTACTCAAAAGGACAGTATTGTATAGATTGTCCCAAGTATTGCACTAAATGTACGGATGACAGTACATGTCAAGAATGCAAGCTAGGAGCTTACAAGTTGCCGTCGGGTTTATGCAATTCAACTTGTACTGATTCCACAATCTTTGTCAATAATAGCTGTCAAGCCTGTCATGTATCTTGCATGACTTGTGATGGATTGGGTGATGATGATTGCACCTCGTGCCATCAGCCCCAGTATCGGCTGGTCAATGGGCAGTGTGTCTTTCATCCCAACTGCTCTTCAGGTCAATACTTTGAGCATCGTGTGTTAGGCTGCAAGAGCTGCCATGGGTCTTGTTTGGAGTGTTCGGGGAGGAAGGAGAGTGACTGTACCTCCTGCTCTCCTTCAAAAGTATTCAGGGAAGGGAGTTGTATTGATAAAGCAGACTTCTGCTCAACTGGAGAATATTACAGTGAATCTACTGGCTCTTGTGCTGTGTGTCCTCCTGGCTGTAGCTCATGCATTAATGACTTGACATGCTTGAAATGTGATCAGCATTTATACATTTATTCTGCACTGATGGAGCACTCTAACCTCAGGCGTACTTTTTGCATTGAGACCTGTCCTGATGGCTATTATGGAGATATAAAGTCCGGGAACTGCACATTGTGTTCCTCTACCTGTGCCACATGTACTGATGCTCCTGCTAATTGTACAACATGTGTTCAATCTGGTGTTCTCCCTCATAATGGTTCTTGTCCTGCTCCTTGCTCTCCTCATCAGTTTTATAACTTTGCTTTAGCGTCTTGTGGCGATTGTCCCATGAACTGTAGTAGTTGCTCTAATGAAACTTATTGTACGCGTTGTTTGAGTGGTTTCTATCTTAATGCTAGAGGGGAGTGTTACCCTCAGTGTGCTACTGGTACTGTTCAGAATCCTCTATCCGGTCAATGTGAATCCACCAAATGCCACTCGACTTGTTTAACTTGTGTAGGGCCCAGTAAAAAGGAGTGTCTTAGCTGCTCCAAGGATCTCATTTTCTTTAAAAATGAATGCTGGAAGGCCTGCCCTGTTGGCTTTTATAGGACAAGCAACAGGAATGAGGAGAGTGTTTCATGCAGCTCCTGTCACAGTAACTGTAGGACTTGTGATGGTCCCACTGATGGAGAATGTCTATCGTGTAGTCATTTAAAGCCATACCTTGATGGCTATCATTGTGTACAAAAGTGTCGCTCAGGTTACTATGTTAACATGCATAAAGCCTGTCTTCCCTGCTCTTCGCAGTGCACCCATTGTACTGATGGGTCCACTTGCTCTCATTGTCAAGGAAGCTATGTTGTTGGCCCTGCTGGTGATTGCCTCTCTGAATGCCCAGCACAATATCACGAATCTAATGGTCTTTGTGTTAATAATCAGAGAACAATCATCCAATCTACAACTACTGTAGAGCAGCCTTCAGCAAAATCTTGGACTGTTTTTGTAGTCATGGTCACTTGCCTCCTTCTTTTGGGGGTACTATCAATACTGATACTTCTAGTGTGGAAGAGGCGTAACTTGCATCTAGTGCTAAGAAGGAATAAGAATAATTATGTGGTACTGTATCCCGACAATGATGAGTTTGAAATGAACGGACAGCCTGGGAGTGAGTCTGAAACTGAGATATTTTCACGTTCCGAACCCATGTAATCTATTTTAAGTTTTAATATTTTACACCAGTTTTTTTGAAAAGAATTTAAATAAATATTTCAAATTTTTTATCTTTTATAGTAATTAATAGCAAGAGTAAATAATACCTGAAGGTGTTCTTTAGTGTTGTTTTTATATCACATTCTGCACTTTTAGTTAGTTATAGTTAGTTATGACATTTCTAAATTACTTTTAGTTAGTTATAGTTAGTTATAACATTTCTGAATTGCTTTTAGTTAGTTATAGTTAGTTATGAAATTTCTGAGTCACTATTAGTTATAGTTAGTAATACTTTAGTTAGTTATTAACGTCAATACATTGAAATTGTAGCTATGAACATGTTTTTATGTGTATTATAATC